TCCCCACAACGGGGGACTCTGGGCGGCTTACAACAAACTAAAATCAGAAATACAATTAAAAATAACCAGAACCTTGTCTCCAAGGTTTGTCTCAAAGAACAGTTGCTGGTAATGGTGTGTGTATTTTTGTGTGTAGGGAGAGATTGCTACATCCTTGCTTCCACATGATTTCTTAGAAATCCCAAGTTACCCACACCAGTACAATACAGCTGGTCTCTTCTAGAGCCAAGATGTGAAATGCAAAAATTATAAAAAATGGGATGTATGGTATACTGACCTTTACTGCCAATTTTAATAGTTTTTATACAACTCTCAGCTTATACGGAGACAACACAAATCATTATCCAAACTATAATAAAGCCTTTTCTGATTACTGCCTCTATTAAGAGTCTATGGGGGTAAGCAGCTATAAAACATTTAAATAAATAATAATCACAAACTGTACAAATAATCAAATGAGCAAAGATGAAATTTTCATGCTGAAAGGAGTCTTCAAAGACACATCAAATTACTTACCTTTTTTTAATTTCAGAGTCACTGAAGGAAGATAAGCGTGGAAGGCCATTCTTTTCATGGTCATGCACAATGTTTTCGGGGATCTCCTCTATGGAAGGAAAAGCTCCTGAGGAAATAAGTTAGAACTTGCTTTTACAGTGGCACTTTTCAGTCTATTCCCATTGTGACATACACTGGTGGCTGTCATATGATTATTTGTTTCTCCTATTAGGTAAGAAAGCAGAGAGAAGTCAGGCCTTGGTATCTTCATGGAAATGTCCATCAAGCAGTTTGCTGCTACCTACTGCCGGGATGTTTTTCTACTTCCCAGTCCAGTCTACAGTCCTGATATTGCTGTAAGTTTCCCATCTTCCTACAACCCAGGCCTGAGCCCCCAAATTGCTTTTTAAAAAATGGAAAGCTCAGTGCATTCTTTTCATCGTGACAACAATTCTCCAATGTTGTAACAATCTAGAGGTTCTAGACAGACTCCTGGTATCTGTATATTGGTGTAATCTCTTCCAGCTCTCAGCACTGCCAGATCATAACATTCTAGGTGTGGAAGGTATTTATCCTAAACTCTGACCAATTACTAAAGCTGGAACTAGAACAGCTGGACCCAAAAGTATAATGGGTCAGTTATACTAGTTTTTTTAGATACGGGCAGAAAGCCAGATCCCTAACACTGACATATGATTAGCCAGTTCTCTGATTTCATACTACCCATAAACTACAGTTATGTATAACTCTTCCTTAGAGTTTTATGTCTGAAGAATACATAAGCCAGAGTACAAACATACAAGTAGTTCAGTAATCAAGTTTCCTGTCCTTAGGCCAAAATCCAATATTGTGGAAGTGGAAGTCTGCTTGCACACTAGGACTTTCTTCTCCTTTACTTCTAACTATAGCTTTCTGTCATCCTCCCATCTGCTCCAAAGGGACTCCAACCCTTAGGAAACGTTCTGAGGGAGCAGGAATTACACATTCAGTTCCACTACCAGAAACAATTCCATCAACAGAAGGCCTTAACATATTTTAATTATAGCCCTCAAAGCCCACTATTTCTAAGCAATATTGTCTCTCACATAATAGCCACATGGAATTGAGCTGATTTAATAATGTAATAAAGTTGAGCCTATCTCTGTCTACTTTGTTTTGTATTAACTTCAAAGGTGTAACTAAAATAAATTAAAATTTTATTATTGTGTTTTACAGTGGTTGCTGTTAGAGTTTTTCTTGTTATTATTTAAAACTATTTTATTCTTGATTATAATTCATCCTGATCAGGGGAGCAAAGATTATCTTAATTTTAGAAATAATTCAAAATGGAATTCAAAGATAATATGATAACCTAAAGAATTATCCGTTCCTTCAAAGTAGGACAGGCTGCCAGATACCCTTTGTTATATATATCTGAGGTAGATGTGCTGCTAACACTCATGTGATTTAAAATAAATCTCAGCTTGAACAGACAAAAATTCCAGGCCTAAGTGTTGCACTTCTAGAGAAAAACATGCATTCCTCAGGCTAGCAAAAAGTCTTGAAGTAACTGCAACTCCCAATTCAGTTTATTTAAAAAAATCCAGCCGAGAAAATTTAGAAATAATCACTTATAGTTTAAATTAAAGCAAAGGCTTTACTAAAACTTACTAAACTTAGCTACCTAAACTCATCAGGAATCTTAATTTTTAAATTAGGCTTACAGATCAAATTCTTTTGAAGATAGAGTAGATTTATCCAACAATGTTTTCTATGGAAATGTGAGTAGCTTCCACCAAAGAACCTGTGTATTTTCCCTAAAGAAGGAGTCAGGTTCAAGTAATAGCTCAATTTCATAATTCTCAAAATTGGATATACGCTATAAATTTAAAGTAACTATTGTTCTGTATTCATTCCAGCAGTGGAAACCATCATTTTCCAGTATAATTTAGAATGGGGGAACATGGTACAAAAATTTTTGCAATCATCCTTTTCTTCTTCCTTTCCTCCCTTATCTCCAACCTGCATTTTGATCAAATTTTATGCCATGAAGAACCCTGAGCATGTTGAGAGCTCTGTTTTCCTGTGATACTTTAGTTGTCTAATTATAGAAGGTTAACAGAAAGCAGAGTATAACTTCTCCTTGATTAATTCCAGCACACAATCATTTCCATGATAGAACCAAGACAGGAAGCCTATTATATATGCAAAATTCTTTTTGGTGGGCAATGACACATATAAGTGGAACAGCTACAACTGGAAGGCTAGGATATTTGAAGTAGCTTCCAACTAGACAAAATATAAAATGCCAAAATAAAATTTTATTCTACAGAATCATTATTTTTATATTTTGCTGGTAGAAATTTTTGAAATCTTTGTCTAAGCAAACACACATTTGAGACTTTAAAAGTTAACTAAGTACCATTTAAAACAATCAAGACTTTCTTCCACTGAGTGTTGCCAACTTTTGGAGTTTGACAGAAGAGGATCTTGTGCTTGTCACATACAAAAATTCGGTCCAAAACAAACTTAGAAACAGTAGTATGGGTGAGGTTTTTCAGAGATGCATCTTGGCAGACATTCCTGAGTAGATCAAGCCTCTCCATATGGACCAGGCCTTCATGTACAAGGTCTTCAGATAGACCTTTTCCTATTGTCTTGATATAAAAAGGGGGGGCAGGCAGAAGAGAAGAACAAAAATAATTTTGCATTTCAGTGTTCAACTCGTACAAGAAAATCTATTATTCAAATGCATACAAGGTTTCCAAAGGTCACTATTGTCTTTCTGCTGGTATTATGATTAGTCGTCTTTTGAAATAGCTACTTCCATCAAGATGATGCAAAGTACAGTGGTACCTTGGTTCACGAATGCTTCTGTTCACGATCAATTCGGGTCATGAACAGCTCCGTTCACAAAATTTTGCCTCCACGAACGCCGGATCAGGTTACGAACAGAATCCGCGGCCATGTTCCCTCCCGTGACATGTGGTCGCGGCTTCCTGTAGGGAGGGGGACTCTCCCTCCAAGCAATATCCACCTCCCCACCCGCCTTCCTGTCCTCCACGCCAGAA